CACACACACACACACACACACACACACACACACACACACACACACATCCTTCCTTTCTTTCATAGTCGACTTTCGTCTCATTCCTCCACAAACTGTAAACTGTGTTATCACAACTATGTCAAAAATGCAAATCAACGAGTAAGGCCTTTCTAAAGAGGTTGGAATGCAACACGCTCGAAAGTCCTGGAAAGGCCTGTCCTGCAATTGCGATAGATGCAATGGCGGCTGTTCCACCATAAGAAAAATCCTTTTCGATTGCAATTTGCGATTTATTTTTGATGCTATTCGATAATCAATTGTTTATGGAAAATATTTTTAATGATAACTTTTTATTATTTTTATTATTTCAATAAAAAAATCATTCATCTGAATTGTGATGATATTGTAAATAAATAATATTTCACTCTTTTTATGAAAAAAATTGTATATAGTTTTGTTTTCGATAGATCGATTGTTTGTTTTTTCTTTTTAAAGAAAATGATATTATATTAAAAACATAAAATAAAAGTAATAAATAATAAAAATTAATTACTTATCATAGTAAAATTATTTGTAATTTTGAAAAAAAAATTAGACTATTTTTAGATTTTTCTTTCCATATTTTTTAAAATAATAATTTACAAAAAATAATAAGTTAATTATATAATTTGAAAAATAAATTTGTAATATTTATCATCATGCAGAGATGACAGGAAGCAAGTATTTTTATATTTTGAAATTTATTAAATATTTCTATTACAGAGAATTTGCAAGAATTGCCGAAAATAGCAGAGAATAGCAAAGAATTTGCTATATTTAAATATTTACAATATGAATTAAATATCAAAATTTCTTCAGTTATGTGATACTTCTCTTGGAGTATTTATATATTAAAAATATCTTGTTGAAGAATCCTTATGAAGTTTTCATTAATTGCGGTTGAAACTTGTTTCAAGCAAAATGTTATCTTATCGTTACATAAGTAATCATAATGGTGTTTCAAATTTACGTCAATAAGAAATGAACAAGAGTCGAATGAGAGAAACGCGTTTACAATCATTTATAATGAAACTTCTACACTATTATTATTTGATGGTACAATTTCGCAGAGGTCAAGTACGAGAGATAAAATGTATACTTACAATTCATATTCATATTCATATACATATATTTACGTACATATATATATATATATATAATTCATTTTTACATGAATATATATTGCAAGATAAATTGATAAAAAAAAAATTGATTTGATAAACGTCAAATTTTTCAAATAATATCATTTTAAGAAACATTTTAATTTAAGCAAATCAATTTATATATATTACTTTATTATTTTATCTTTTTTTAATTATAAACTCTATTGGTAAAAAAATCATTAAAGAATTAAATATATCATGTCTAAAAACATCTTGAAAAATTAAAATTAAAATACATAATTATTTACGAACAAAATTTTTAACAACAATTTTAACAAATGTTAAAAATTTACAATAATGTTTGTATATTAACATCATCTAATCTTACAATACTGAGAATATTTGTATTAATTGAGATTAACTGTAGCGAAAACATTATAATTTAAGACTTTAAGTATATATGTTTCTTTGTTTCTCTGAATTTTATTCAAACGACATTAAAAATTTCAACGTTTCAATTTAATAAAACACTTAATGAAATATTTTTTAGAAACAAAATATCTCCAAATAATAATGTTTGTAAAATTATAAAAAAAATTCATTTGCAAAAAGACAATATGAGAGCTTCAATTATATTCAGATTTAATAATTTTAATTAGATATACTTTGAGAGTAATCTTTCAATATTCTTCTTTCTTGTTTTGCGAATAATTCTGAATCCGTATATTACAATTAAGGCCTATTTGTGAACAAATTTATCTGGCAAGTGACCAACAGATTGTGTTTACTGCTAATATGCGGACTTACAAGAGTCGCTATATATTTACTAAAAATATTAACTAACATAAAGTTGCTTGCAAATGATTCTAATTAGGATAGCATAGTGCAGTGTTTGATTGTGTTGTATGCTTATATGTGTATATACATGTTATGTTACGTAGATTTATTTGCGAGTGTAATATAACAATTTTTATTCTAAAAATATTGAAGAAAATTAGCATAGAAGTGATTTCAATGATAAATATTATAAAGAAACAATTTTCTGTTTTAATCGCAAATAATAATTGTTATTATTATATAAGTGAAATATAAACTTTATTATTTTTTTATAACGAAAGGTCATTCTCAGCATGTTTACTAAAAAATACGATTTAATTATCATGAATATCTCTTGAAATACTTGCATTAATTTCTCTAACAATGATTTCAATTTTGCTATATTTTGTTATATTGAGAAATGTTACGCTTCATGTGCTTTCAATTACGATTGCATGTTCTGTATTCCTGTACTATAAGATTAAATTTAGAGACCAACTGTGTTTAAAAAGATTTACTGTGATTGTGATTAAATTCGATAAAAATCTTCACTAGATATATTTTTCTTTTATGAAATAAAAAAAAAATCATTATTATTAATTTATAATATAATACTACAATTATTGAATTTTTTTTATTACTCTTTATATGCCTGCTTCGTTTAATTGTTTTTTATAT